AATGTTATGGAGTCACCTGAGTACAATAATCCTTCCGACATGTACTTTGGGATACATGTACAAAAGTGTGTGACAGAGGAGAAGTTTAATATTATTATTGCCTAATCTTTTTTCTTTTTCATAATTCAGTTCACTTGGTAAATGTTGTATACATATATTGGAAAGTCAACAATAGACTCAATATTTTAGAGACAAGCACAAATGGTCTATTTGAGCATTTCTCAAACTGATATTAAAATTTCAAAGAAATAAAAAATGCAAGAAAATACATAATCAATGAAAAAAGAGCATATAAAAGACAGAGGACAAAGTCTCAAATGGCGTATGTGAAACTATAGAAGTTATTTGTTGTCTTTTAATCAGCACTTCTAGCTGCCTTCAAGACATTTTGTCATTTTAGAGAGAATAAATCATGAGATGAGCTGCAGGGGTGAATGTGTGCGTGTGGTATATAATATCTGTGAAGTATATACTGCTGATGACGTTAGGGAAATTCTCCGTTGTGTTAAACAGATAAATCTACACAGAGGATAAAACTATAGCTGTTACCCCGCGGCCACCCTATAGGGTTTGATAGAGAAATGTATGAATACACAAAGATGCAACGCTAGCTTGACAGAAATATTCAAAGCATCATTTTTCTCTTGATTAGCAGGGAGTTCACACAGAGGATTGTGGCGAAAAAACGATAATAAATGTCAGAGGTTGTACAGTTTTTGGAGGTTTATATAGGAGCCAACGATGCATCAATCATAAAAGGTTCTTCCGAGGATGAAAAAGTGTTTTCCTTTTCTGCATAACCATTGGTGCTTCGATCAAATCATGCCTTAGAATATGATATTTTCATAGCTAGTCATTAATAATTATGGTGTTTTAAGTTATAAATTCAGAGGAGATTTGCATAATTTCTGGATTTCCCTTAAAATGATCATTTTCTGAGATGCTATAGATTCACATATCCCTCAGATTATGGCAGCTGTTTAATGCTCCAAAGAAAAATACAATTCAAACATTGGGTCCATCAGTCCGGGATCAGACGGGCGCATGCATGCTGGAATTTAAGTGTGTGTGTGTTTGTATATAAGAGAGACTGACAGCCCTGATGGTTTTGGCAGTTTGAAAATTTTGAGGTGGGCATTTTGATTGATGCGTCCAAGCATCTGACAACCCCGAGATTAAACCGTCCGGTTGTCCGTCAGCACACACAGACACACTCAGTTTTCATTAAATAGGTGGACAGTGCATTTGCTCATATTCATTACCAGAAGAAAAAGCCCAAACCATGAGCGGACCCCCCACCCAATAAGACCCGGCCTTTCCATCAGACTTGCACTTTTAAAGAGATTTTGTCATCCCCAAAATACACATAGGTCCATACACTGTGGATGCACAACAGCTCTCCCAACACAAGTACACAAAGTTCTTATTCACCATCACATCAAACACACAACACTGTCATCTTTACAATCCATTGCACTTAAAAGAACAGGCATAAAAAAAGACCAAATCAGGGCTGCACTAAAACAATATAATTTATTCAATTGACCTCACATTTTTACAATTTTACTCATGTGGACACTACATGAATAAATAGACAAACATCTTCTTCAATGCTGCATTTAGAAGTTGACTAATTTGTACTTTATATATATATATTTCTTAACATTTATCACACAAAAATACAGCATTGTTGTTTTTTACAACATGGAGCCACAAACATCAGTTAAACAGCTGAGCCTGAAATTTTTTTCTGTGCATGTGTGAACACGTTTTATTAATAATCCTTTGCTGTTACTCCTTACTCGTTCAGAATAAACCTTTGAAAGGAAGAATGATTGAATTCTGACAAGAATTTCAGATTTGACCAAAGTTATTAGGAGGATTTATTAGGAGACAGGTATTATGTGTAAAAAAAAAAATGATGCAAGCAGAATAGCGATTGGTTGAAATGGTAAATGTGTCTTATTCTTCTGTGCAGTAGAGATAGAAAAAGAAATGTCACCAATGTGAGTTGACCATTCATTTCTCCGTAAAATTGGCGAGAATTTTACGCAATTTTTTAAGCTTTTTTCATCAACCTTTTCATTAGATAAGAAAGCTAATCCTAAAGAACTCTTTTTGTTGGTTTTGGTCATGATTGGCGTTAATTACTGATTATACATAAAATACAAAATGCTTTTGTCAACTTTACAACTTTGATTTGAATGCTTTCCATATATAACCACTTATAAATAATGAAAATTCTACATAATAAAATGGTATAAAGTAGAAATAAAGTCTATGATTTAAACATTTACTCCAAAGGTGATGGGGTGTAAGCACAGTGAAATCAACAGGACAGCAGTAACACTTGGTTGTGGCCAAAATAAGGATCATGTTTCTTGAGTTTCCCTGAAGGGCAGAAGTGTGTTTGAGAGTTTAAAGTCGCAATATGTGTTAACTGGAACAGCTGAAACTGAGACTGTACGCGAAATGCTCAACTGATAACACACACTTTTCATCAGTGTGTGAAAACACTCAAACAAACTGTCATAAACCTTTGTTTCGAACCTCTGTGCAGCATTAATCAAATGTCCTGACACCTAATCGAACAGGAGCAAGATCAATAATGACCAGCACCATCCTGGGAGGAACAATCATTTCCTGACTCCGTGAACTAGTCAATACAGCTTTAGGAAGAGCAAACACACCATCAGAAAATGGACACAGACACGTTCAAAACTTTACGTGGGATGATGCTTAAGGACCCCTGATGATCATTTGAAAAGCAAAACATATGCCTTAGTTTTCATACTTTCCAGGCAGTGATGAGTACCTTTCATGTATTAAATGTATTTGAAAAAATCCAATTTGAATGTTTTCAGTTTTTGTCATATTTTGCTATAAATGCATTTGAACAATGATTTTCCGCTAAATGTTTGATAGCAGAACAAAATTCGAAGGAATTTTCATGTTGCTGCTAGACATTAAAAGAAGCCAATGAATGTTTGGAAGGTTGAACAAACGCAATAAAACAATACCACTGTATATATGACACGTGTGAATATCTTATTTGAAATTAGAAATGGAACTAAAAGCATTTTGTGTGTCTGTGCTTGGGACTGCTATTGATGTCCTGAAGTTTACTGTGCAAAGAAATGTGCTGGACAAGTCTCAAAACACTAAAGAGAATTTTGATTGTTTTCAGCCAGATGCTTTGGAAACTGCTTAAGCAAAAAAAGAAAAGAAAAAGAAGGCGATTCTTGCAACAACTTAAACTGTAAGCAGTAACTATTCTGTACTGGATGATGAAATTGTAAGAATTAAACAACCAAATTCCGCATTTCGTTTTGCATTTTTTAGTAGAATGTAATTAATTTAAATTAGAAATCGTATTATGTTTTGGCAAATTCTCAGCCATCTGATGTTTTGGCAGTATACAGTTTAGGGTCAATTTAAACATTTTGAGCCAAATATATTATGTATGTACCAATCAGTCAAAAGACTATGACACCCCAATCCCAACATCTAATAGGTCCTTCTTTTACCTAAAAAACATCTATAACTACTGTAGGACATAAACAAAGAACAGCTTAGGTTGTCTTGGAAAGTAACATTGAACAATCTGGGCACTGTGGGTTGAGAGATATATTAAAGGATTGCACCTACCTTTACACAATCAAAGTAAAGTTGACAGTAAAGTTTCCTCTAATTTTATTTTCTGCTTTCCGTGAGGCTCTAGCTGCTCAAGGTGAATGATGTCGTTCATTCAGTTGAGGAATAGTTAGAATTATACCCTCTAACTGATTGCAGAGCAGGGATTTACATGCATAAACAACCAAACTTGGCCTCCGGGACACACAACACAGGAGCACAGTGACTTATTTTCCAGTAAAAATGTCAATACACAGACAGATCAGATGTTTTCCATCATTTGTTAACTATATGAAAATTTCTCTGATCTTTTAATGACTACAAATAATTGTTGTCTGCAATTCCAGTTTGTTAAAAATTGTTGGATTTTGTGGGGATAGATAGTATTTCCTTGAAAGGTCTCTGCTAACATGTTTTCTTTACCAACTTAATCAGATCACTGTTGTCTCTTTGGCTGTTGTCGTTGCAGTGCCACTAAGATTCTGATTTGTAAGGCTTAATCGTGACTATATAACCATACTGCAACATGTTGGTAGGTCTATACATTTCGGCAGTGATTTTTCAAAGATTTTGGTTTCCGAACTCTCTGTGAAGGTTTGCTCAATAATCCATCTGTTTGGCAAGTTCAGTCATGTGATAATATTATGGCTGTTTATTATGTCCTCATTTATCACTGAGTGTGTCTGAAGACCAAAAATAATACATTAAAATCCAACTGCTCCTCATATTAAAATCAGTTATACTAATGCGATTGATAATGTGTATGTTTATAATTATCCTAAAAATATTATTGCTCTATTAATAAAATTCTCTACCTAAACTTAAAACTGAAAGTCTGCAAAAACTCCCAGCAGCATTCACTTGAAACTTCCCGTGTTTATGCATTCATGTATGCAGGAAAATCAACATACATATGCAATGCCTTGCAGATATGGGCACAGTCTCTTGGTTAGATATTGCACTTTTCTTCTGACCAACAAGAACTCCTTGTAGACAGTTTTCATTGACTGCCTATGGACAATTCCTCTGGTCACAGTAGCAGCACTCAAAGTAAAATGGTTGTTGTGGCTGTGGATTCACAGAGTCATGGTCAGAAAACATAAGACTGACTATGGTATGCTTTGCACATCCCTTTGAGACTCCATGTCTTTTTCCCAGACAGGGAATCTCAAAAAGAAGTCAAAAGAAAAGAGCATTATGTCACAATAAAACTAACTTGTGGAGTCACTCAGAAGCCACGGTAGATTTCTGCAGATCCAACTCCAAGTGTGGCAGTAGCAAGTTTCCTGACGAATGCTGAGGCTTCTTTGACTTTTTTCCTTCCTCTTCACATTCCTTTGTTCGGGTTATCTTTGTGCCTTTGTTGTCTAGTTCTCGCTGTGGAAAGACTCTGGACTTGATGCTCCGTCATCGCTGAGGACCTCTGTGTTGGTGAACGTCCCAGCAATGGAAGCACCGAGCGTTTGCCTAACAGGAGCCATCTCTGAAAGAATGATGTTGTCCTGGTTGGTCACGAGTGTGGTCTTGTCCATATTCTCCTTGCTATGCTTGGACACCACTGCATCCAGGAAGTCATACTTATGGGACAGCATACCACTTTCAAAGAGGTATTTTGCCAGGTAAGAAAAGCACACGTTTGCCAAGAAGGATGCGACCATGGACATGGATTTGAAGGGGAACCTCTGCTGCACAAAGTACTCCACCTCTCCGGTGAGGTGGTGGATCTTCTCCGCTGTGACCCAGCCGGGGTAATAGATGAATGGTGGAAGTTTTAGGTAGGGCTCTCCTCCTCCGATGCGGAGCAGAAGACCGAAGATGTAGCCCGCCACAGACCCATAGGTGTTAGTACCCTTGACGAATAACACACTGAGAAGTTGGGGGAAAATGATGACGTAGACGAGGTCTGAGCTCAGGTACCACAGGCCATACACTGATCCCGTTAACAGTGCCATCGCTGTGGCCAGTGCTCCGAAAACAAAGATGGTGAGGCGCATCACCCAAACGATCTCCCGATCTGAGGCCTAGAGGACAGAAAAATGTGAGGGCAGTTAAGGCTGGATAAAAAAAGTCCTTTTGTATAAACGTTCGGCTCAGATCATGTCTGGGCTGCTTTCAGGGTGGCATTTGATGTCTTCTGAATAAGACAAAACCGATTTTTAATTTTGTCGAGGGATGATTTTTTTTGGTTTTTAGTGTTCTTACCGACTGCCGAAAGGCTAGCTGATAGATGTTCCTGGCAAACATGGAGCTGGCCGACAGTATGGACGAGTCCGCCGATGACATGACAGCAGCTGACACTGCTCCCAGACCAAAGAAGGAGATGTAGGAAGGGCAAAGGTGCTGAAGAACTATGGGAAGGATCATATCTGATTCATCCTTATCCTTTGGAGGGAGAGGACCATAACTAGTTTTGTTCCAATCTAAAAAAAGGGAAAAGTAAACAACTTTCAGCCAGTTTCTTTAATAAATTAATGAATATGTGTTCCGTTGATTTTATGCTGAACAGACTGTAATTTGCTCATTCCATTTCAAGATATGAGACATTATGCTCTGGCCAACCTTTTGTATTTCTAAATGGAATGAAAACTGCATAATGGTTTTTGGCCTTTTGACTTTTTGAGGTTAAGACAAAACATTCTACTTTAAAACCTTGTTATAAGGTTCCCTGTGGGTTCCCGTGTTTTAGTTGCTGAGAAACAATGAGGCTGTGTGCTGGAATACAACACGGCTTATCACAGATCTCACTAAATTGTGAGATAATTTATTTTCAAAAACATTTAATTAATCCCTGTTCTTTTCTGTGGGTTTTATATCTTAAAACCTCTCACACCTTCCATCTTTCTGGCATGCACGCTGTGCCTTTTCTTGTCTGTGTTTGGGCAAGAAAAGCAGCAGTTGATTTGTGTCTGTTACACATGAAACTGTTTCATAAGGACCACATTAATTAGCTCCTCTTCAGATGTAATATTCACTAAATGGGCACGGTCTAATGATTCTCTCCTCCACCCATGGTGATGGGATCTGTCTGCTGTTTACTCTCCTGACAGAGTACACATCACTGCATTTACACACAGAAAATCTGCTGGGATGTAAACAGCATATGAAGGAAAGGCACTCTCTTTGATCACATTTTCTAGCTTAAATAAAGCATCAAACTCTCTGATTTTTTAAATACTTTTTTGATGTTTTATGAACTTTTTAATGCATCTGTGTCTGTGTCTATTCACAGCAGTATGTCAGCCTGAGTAGATTTAAGAGCTGGATTCCAGACAAAACAAAGCCCCAACCACATCATTTGCCATTAACAGGTGTTCACAAATGAACATTTCAGCATCTGGTTATTAATACTCCACTTCAGTTTCTTCAACAAATGCTGCTTTGAAACAGGTGCCTCTGTTACTCCCATTGTTGGTTCTGTAACGGTGGAGAATTGCTAAAATTGTGACCCACCCATTTCAATTACCAGTGGTTTATTTTTCTACAAACACAAATAGAACTAACCCTTAACATAGGCTGATATTTCATTGTGTCTGCGTGTGGGTGTGGGTTTGAGGATTTACCTGTGGAAGCCCCTATAGCTCCAATGAGAACCGAGGGGACGGCCATTACCAAGCAACCAAAGGCAGCAAGGAAGGAGAGAACCTGAGCGTAGGTAGCTGAAGAGGCAGAGAGAACCCTTTGAAAATACACCTGCCAGGGGATCCCCCCCAACATCTAGAAAAAGAAACACCGTCATAAATATAGACTCTTTAACTGTTGCATCACAGATCTAATTCACGTATAACCACCAAGAAACCAAACTTAAATGCTTTGTGCTTTAACTTTCCGATAAATACATATGGTCTGTGACACTAACAGTTTTGAATAAAATAATGCAACTGGAATTTGATTTAGAAAATCTATTGTCTCATGTTAAGTCTTACCATGAATGTTATATCTTACCAGCAAAAAGAAGTTGTCTGCCCATAGCCAGTGGTCTTCAGGCTTGATATCACCAAGCCAGGGAGACTGATAGATTTCCTCTTTGGCTGAAACCGTGATGTCAGACACAGCGGGATTAGAAAGGGCAAAAGGCACGCTGATCCACTGACAAAGAGAAGGGAATCAGAAGGAAAATTTTATATAGCACGAACTATTTGTAATGTCCAGTCAAAAATATCTATCTCTATTAAGTTGGGATATTTTATTGTAGGAATGTTGACTCAGAACTCACCAAACCCAAGAAAATACAGAACAGCTGGACCACATCTGTGTAAGCAACAGAGTACAGTCCTCCGACAAGTGTGTAGAAGATAGCAATCATTGCTGAGATCACCACAGACATGTTGATGTTGATGTCCACGATCACACTGAGGGTTGCACCTGTGTGGCATTGCAACCATTCAGATTCACACACAAAGTCTGCACTCCACTGAAAAAGGTTAATCTCATAATCTCATGCTCATAGTTCTTGTTTGCACAGGGGTCCCAAACCTCGATCACCTACCCAAAGCAGACAAAATTGCTGCAGACCAGAAGATTTCCCCCATGAGAGCGGGTATAAAGAGCAGGCCGCCCATCCTTTCCCCATAAAGCTGCTGGAAGGGGTCCAGCATGGTGACGTATCCTCGTGATCGCATGGGTTTGGCGAAGAAAAGTCCCCCTGAACGATGTCAGATATTAATATGAAGCAGACGAATGGTGTTTTCAACACTATTTTACGAGACTGTAATAAATAAAACTGACGATAAGTGTGTTTTTTCTGCATACACAATCTATGATTGTTGTATCTCTCCATGTTTTCCCCACGCTGCCACATTACGCACAGTGTATTTAATCGTTTAAATATGCCACATGGGACTGTATACACAGGTGTGAAATTACTTTCAGTTATTATTCCTGTGGTGAATTCTATTTTGAGGTTATTTTTGTGCAGTTTGCACATTCAGTGTTTCTTAAATCTATATATCATGTAATAATGATGATCTGCCGCAACACTTTGCCTTCCTTTTCCCCTATGTGAATGTATCCCCCTTCATTACAGACTTATACAACGTAGGACACATACAAGATGCAAACAGATCTTACCCACGACCAGGCTGAGAGCATAACCAAAGGGTGCCTGTGCCCAGGCCAGACCGTAGTCCGGCAGGTAGACATATTCTGCTGTCCCATTGATATAACCCCCGCCAACCCAGGTGGCTAAAGCAGAAGGAAATCAATTTACTTTAGTTAAACTTAAGTTATTTAAGAAGAAAACAATGTAATGGTGTCTAAAACTGTAAATTCCGTTTAAAAGCAAGCAGCCAGCACAAAACCAAACTCACCGGTCATCGTGAAGCCACCAACAAAGAGTCCGATGTCCCTTCCCCCGACCATAATACTCTCGCTACGATCTCCACTCTCGGTGACACCTGAATTTTTATTCTTCCACGCTGCCCAGATCCCCACGAACAGAATCAGGAGATAAAAGAGCACGATTGCCACGAGACCCTCGGCGTGGATTGCCATCGTCCACTTGTCCGCTTCTAGCCAAGATCAAGTGCTACTGGACACAGACTGGAAACTCATGGATCAAACTTAAAGGAAACAGGAAAATAAATATAATTGAGTGAGTTTTTATTTTTTATTTTTGCATACCAAGGTTGAAAATCATCACTATGCAACACACGTTTGGTTATTTAAAAATAAATAGAGAGATTTTTGAGAAACAATCATTACAGTGGGGCAGTACAGCAATCTAAATTTTGAGTGATCAGACATCGTCAGAGAAATCGAACGAATACCACGCTTTCTTTCAGATATATCTCTGACGTACGGCTTGTCCAATCATCTCGTAAATATCTAGTGGAAATGAAATACTCGCCCTCGATCTTGCGCAAACCTAAACAGAAGACTTGGAAAAAGAAAACTAGCCCTTTCCACCAAGAAAGATCTTAACTAACCTCAGTATTTTTTGTAAAGTTCAGTTAAAGAAACATTTGAAAAGCACTTCACAGACTATGACAAGCATGCAGGGAACTCTTCCTGGCGTTCCCGAAACAAACAATAGAAAAGAAACAATAGAAAAGTAAAAGATCCACTCAAAATACATCCAATTTTACGGCGTCTTGAGGACTTTGGGGATCCTACCTTTTCCAGATGACGCACATACAAATGTGCACGAAGAGCAAAAAACTCTCGATCATTTGTAGAAATTAATCGGAATTTTGATGGACACAAATTAACCTAAACGCAAACGGACTCATCGAAGAGACCACTTAAACTGGCGCGTATTGCAAATCTTTGGGCGGAGATGATATTTTACGCGCGTGGGTACTCCTTAGTTTCTCGGGACAAATTTCGGCAGTTTCGCCATAGTTTTGAGCTGTGCCTGCAAAAAAGTAAATAGAAATAAAAATCCCATGTTCTTTAAACGCACAAAAATGTATCTGTTGCTTAATAGATAAAGGTCAATGCACCGATCTCTCTGTCTTTTGTTTGGACTATCAACTACAAAATATCAAATATGAATCTCCAAATGCGGAGCACCGTGAATACTTGTTCAACCACAACAAGAAAGACTTCTAAAACAAATGGTTTAAGTCCGAATCCAACATCAAACCTTTGCTTTTGGGGTTCCTGCTCCGCTAATAAAGTGCTTCTACGGGATTTGCATGATCTTATTGATCTGACATTAAATCATCTGTCATAGTAGACAAATGCAGTTACAATTGCTTATACAAAATTATCCAAAAAACTGTAAACATCTTACCTTAACTTGGAAGAAACTGGTTTGAAAAGATCAGAAGAGCAGAGTTTCTGGCCGGAAAAAATTGTTTAACTGGTTAAGCGTACTGGCAAAACATTACTGTATTGTAACTCCCAATGTAATCCTCATGGGCGACCAAACACAAATCACCTGTGTTGTTTTTTAACTCACCAATGCTGGTCGGCAAGAGTCATGCAGGGGGAAAGAGAGAGGGAGGGCGTGTGTGTGTGTGGAGGTGGGTGGAGGGGTGGAGATGAATGGGAGTGGTGGGTTTATTGGGTGCTGTCAGGGTGGGTAGATGGTGGATGAATGTCTTCCAGGGCAAGACGAAAATAGCACCTAATAGAGAGTGCCATGACGCACGAGCTCTGCAGAAAAGCTTTCCAATATCATAATATCGCATTGGCAGCAGAGGAAACCTTTCCTCTGCCAGGTTACATCTCAGGCCTGATTTACGACGTTGGGCAGGTCTCACTTGAACGCATCGTGTTTAGACCAAAACGGCAGCCTGTGGCCTGTCGTGAAAATGGTACACCCGCGTTGTTTTATCCGTTTATGACCTTCTTTACGCAGGAAATGTCCGTCTTGGTTCTTGGACGTCACTTTGTTCGGAAATTCTTGGATATGTTTAACAGAATGTGCCAAACTATGCGTATGATTATGATTTAAAGGGAACACGAATCTCTTCTATACTTATAAAGAGTGCTCCCAACCACAACTCGACGCAGGAATCAAGCAGGGACAGTCTCCATCAGTTCCTCATCTGTTGTGAGTTTTGAGAGTGAGGACTCGATTCGCTGTCCATGGTGCTGAAGTCCGCCTTTCCCTCAGCTCTGATCACAGTTTGGTGTCAGTAAACCTTCTTCCACTCTTCTATTCGTCTCTTGGACTTTTGAATAATCGTGGATATTGAGATTAAAAGGGATTTCACTCAAGTTATTTTGGGGAAATTAGAGAACCTTATTCTTAGTTGATTATACCTGGCAGTAAAATCTTTGTTGTTTTTTGGGGTAATATTTTGCATCCCCCACTTCTGGTGTCTTTAAATCTAGATGTTTGCTTTACCGCATTCTTTAGCTCACCTCAGCTACAAATCAGAGGCCAAAAATGTATTGAAAGGTATAGTTTTGGTTTCTCACGGTATATATTGCGCTATTATTTTCTAACACATTCAATACCTTAAGTTATACATGAACCCTCTATATAAAAACCTCTCTATTTTAACCAACACAACCAATCATGCTGTGTGCCTGCTGTGAAAAGAAATTTGTTTATTTATTTCCCCAAAGAATAATTACTCACCTCAGCATAGAAAAACAAGTGCTTTGAGAGCCAGAAATAAATTAAGTGCATTGTTGGACTCTCGACACATCCGGTAATTTATCGTCTTTCTGGCTGACAGTCTGTCAGACACAGGGCGCCTCTAATTGGAGGGGTTTTCTACAAAAAAGTCACGACAACATTTATTTTACAGGTAGTTCGACAGTCTGCTTGGAAGGTCTCAGAGGTGCTCCGAACACCTTCATCCAAAAGACAATCATGAAAAGTAACCCAAACCAGTAATTGAATAAGTGTCCAATATTCAATGGGTGGAAATAGTAGTCTGTTATGATGCAAAGCTGTTCTGGTGGAAAGGACTCTGGTTGTATTCTAAAAAGTGCTTTGCTGCCATCGTGTGTTTTTTTCAAGTTTTACACTTTTATCAATAAAAAGCTTTTCAGAAAGACGTGTCAGCAGCAAAATATAAAAAACACAGTTTAAACTGATCAAAAACTCTAAGTCTGATTGCTCACACAGACACACTTTCCTAATCGCTACTGAGTTTTTGTCAAAATGTGACTCTCATTTACAAAAAGTGCTTTTTTCAGGCTTCTTTCTCAGTGAACTGTCTGCTGATCTTCTCAGTAACAGAGCACCTACACAACAGAATCCCTTTAACCGTTTAATTCTTTAGTAAGAAAATGATTTAAACAGGCTAATTATTGCATAATCAAAGTTTTCTGGTTTTGGAATAAAAGCTAACAAGAAAGTGGCACAACATCTAAGGAAACAGCTCAGCTGCTTACACATTAACATAAACTGTTATTTACATTCTTTTTTTTTCTCATTGACTTTTTTCCTGTCACATAGCGCCATCTTCTGGTCCTTAAGATACAGCGCAGCAGTGCCGGAGATGCCAGTTCCCCTCTTCCCTACACAGAGTTTTGTGTATTTGCGTATCTATCAGTTTAGTCAAATTCTCTGCATCTATCCTTCAACGAAAACATAAACCTTCTAGTAGGAAATGGTAACATGATGTATCTGTTATTCTTTCAGGTTTGCAGGGAGTGAAAAGGTGCATGTAAAAATAGAACAAAGTGAGTTATTCGCTGATCAGAGGACAGTTCTGGTCTAAGCAGAGGCTTTTTCATAAGCAGAGCTTGTGGTCTCACAGTTATTGTTCTGTTTAAGTCTCCATACTTTCAGACGTAGTTGTTGAGCCTGTAACCGTTGCTGGAGAGGGAGCAAAGTGAGGGTGCGCGATTGTCTTTGAGGGCTTCGGGGGGCTTGTAGGGCGGAGCAGGGGTGTAGAAATTGTTGAATGGCGGTGGAGGGGATGAAGGCGGCCTCCTTTGGAAGCGGGGTGGGTTCTGCAGCCTGTCGCCGCCGCCGCTGCTCCAGCACAGCACCAGACCCCCGGTCAGGCTGAGGCAGGCCGAGGCGTAGCCCAGATACACGGCCAGGCCGATCTCGTACTTCAGCCCGCTGGGGAGGAAGGGGTCGTTGAACTCTCTGATGACATCACTGGTGGTCCAGGACACAGTGACCAGGCAGAGAAGGCCAGCGCAGAGGAAACAAATCCCCCCGCTCAGGACCAGGAGGGATTTGATCACTGAACGTCTGGCAAAGCGGGTGCACTTCATTCCCATCACAGCCACCATAGATGCCAGGACTGAGGTGATGCAGGAGAGCACCATGAGTGCCCGGGCAGCCTAATGAACAAAAGAAATGACTTTAGCTTAAATCAAACAGTTGCAAAATAGACTATGACAAAAAAGTTATCTAATCTGTTCAATATCCCATTTTTTTCTTTACTATTACAAATTCTCTGCAGTTCACTTTTGAAATTTGGCCACAAAGTTTAAATTGATACGCAATGCAAAGACAGAAGGTCAGTTGCATGCAAAAGTGGAACAAAGACACAGACAGAGCAAAACAGGCAGTCGACTCTTTTGATCCCCAGTCACATTCGGCTGCAGCTGAATAAAATGCAAGTAGAAGAGAACTTCACAATAAAGGTGAAATGTTGTACAACAGTCTCAGTTCAACATATATAGTCAAGTGAGTGATTTGTCTGTGGGCACATATTGTTTTCAAATCTTTATCTTGTGTTTAATTTTGATTTGTTAATGCAGTCTTTTCAGAGGTCATAAACATATTCTTTTCCTGGATGCACTGGAAGAATGGATTATGCCTCAAATGATTACAGATTTATAATTCAAACTCATTTCTTTACATTTAAAAGAGTTTATTTTTGTTATGATAGTTTCAACATAAGAGTGAAAATCTGTACTGAATCTGTACTCTTTACACTTTTGGAAATAACAACCTTGATTTGATAAATAATGCCTAAACATACGTATAACAATTACAAAATACTATTTTTTTGTCTCTTCACTTAACAAAGAAGTGCATGTTAAAGTGAAATTAGCTATGCTCTGATCCACGTTCCAGATTGGAAACTGATAAACTGCATATGCGTTAATCATTATTCAAGTTAATGAGTCAGTGCTATCAGGGGGTCAACTTGTTGAGTTTAAAAGTTTAAGTCTAAAAGTCACACATCAAACAAGGACATCGGACGGGATTTTGGTTCTATTCCGTTCATTTCTGATCTCTCAAGACGTGGAATTTTGGATTAAGTTCCACCAAACAGCTGCCGCTGCAGTACCTGAAGGTCTTGTGGCAGGGCCAGCAGAGATCTGTACAGCTCACACTGGTAAATGCCGGTGCTGTGCCACACACACTCCATCCACAGGCCTTTCATGTAGCCCGTTGCTGTGATGATGTTAGAGCCCATGTAGGCTATGTTGCGCCAGTGGGGGAGCAGGGTCGCGACAACAGTTCCCGCGAAGCCCAAAAGTCCAAAGAAGAAGCCGAGAAGCTGGACGGCCGTGCTGGCCATCGTGGATTCACTCGGAAAGATGCACAAACTGCGGTACACAAATATAGAAAGCGGGAATCCCTTTTAATGAGATGAAAATGGGAAAAATATCGAGTCCGAATACTAGCATGAAGTATAACTGTGAAAAGCCGTGTGACTACACACAGCTTTCAGAGGTTTTATATACAACGAAAAGGTATCCTCACAGAGAAGCAGCTTAAAATGTGGGATATGGAAAATAATCAAATGAAAATGAAACACTTTCAATACAAAACTACTGACTTTCTCCCGGGCTGAAATCTGGCTGGATTACTCTCCTTATCTGCCCGGTCCCCAGCAGCGCAGCATATTCCGCTGAGCTCACATCCAGTCACAGAGTCTGAACCATTCCTCAAGTGTCTCCTGAGTGCACAGAGAAATAGCGGCGCAAACTTTCAGCGTTCAGGCATCAGTCTCTGGTGAACGACAGGTGACTGCATGTGTGACTAATGACAGCAGTGTTCAGCTTCACCTGTTTAACGCTCTCCTCTGGAGGGCAAAGCACAGCAGTCTATTTGTTAAGCTCTTTGCCACCCCTCAGGAAAAAGAAGAGAGAGAGGGAGAGGAAATGAAACATTTACAGAAACCACAGTAGCTGAAAGAACCACTATAAGCCATCAACTTAATTTTTCACAGCTCTATGGAGGGTTTGAAAGCAATCCACTGAATGACTTCCTAACTGAGCTTCTGTTCCAGGAGCCAAAAACTCTATGAGGATCTGTACTGCCCATATCTGTATTGATAGCTATTATAATAATGGGCCAAATTATATAGTCATCTTTTCTAGTAATGTTTGACCTAAACTCATGTGGCAATCACTTATTCATTTACCAAACAGAGTGGTAAAAATAACTAAGCTTGTAGCTTGAGGTTATACCAGGAAAAAAAACATCCCTTCTTCAAAGTGTGAAAATCTGCTTGATCATTTCCTTTTTCTCTCTCTCAATATTTTCAGTAAAAACATTTTCTTGATATAGAGAAGGCTGACCCAAAAACGCACAGCATCTTGAATAAGACAGGATGCTGGTCTTTCTGTATCCATAGGATGGACATTTATGGTCAAATGTACAAATACAAACCCATTTTTTTCATTTTCTCAAAAGACAGAAGCTGTTTATCAAGCTTAATTATTGTTAAGAAACAGACCTGGCACCGCTTGGATCCCTTAAAATCTCTGTGATACAGGCCTCATTGTGCTTACTTGTTCATGATTGACTGCTATGCAGGCATGAAACGGAAGCACGAGGAACAAAGGAGCATTTATCTCTCTTGTTTACCCTCAATTTAATCCAGTTTTGCTTTATCTAATTGGGGAAAAAGCCTAATATTAACAATCTATCCATCCACTTTCAATACCACTTATTGATATTAATAATAACAGAACCTTTTGATGTTTTGTAAAAATTCTTCTACACACTCACCAATATTAGCGGGCCATGGTCTCTACTGCCAAGTTGATGTAGTGGTCCTACGAGACAAAGATTTTTCTGGAGAAGTTCTAAGTGACCAGGCCCACTGGCACTGACTCTACGTTGAACAGCTCCTCTTGCTACTGTTTTTGATCCAAATGGACAAACAACATATGTTTGTTCCTGGGTGGTCAGCTCTGTGATGAGCCACTGTTAGATATCAGCATCCTCATCGTTGACATTATCCCTGCCAGCAGCATCGTGGAAGAGACGGCGTGAGACACAGTCCTGTTGCTGCACCAGACAGATAAACAAGGCCAATGTCAAATGTGTATCCGGTGGCACAGCAGAGTTTCAAAGCAGAGACAAACAGAGGAGATATTGTTCCTACTGTTTTTTTTCTCTCCATATCTCAGCCCTGCATCTACTCACAAAAAAAGGGGTATTAAAAGAATGAATGGAAAGATAATCTCATCAATAGCCACAGCCAAACAGCTTGTAAAGAGGATTTTTATTAGCATATAATGGGCATTTGAATGCTAAAACAATTCTACACTGTTCTGCACTGAGTCAAGACTTTAAAGCCAGACTGTGTCTGTGAACACTGTACTAGTAACTCTGTGTGAGGAACATACCGTACGGCTGTATATTGTAGGTCATTAAACATGGAGGCTTAAAACAATCCCTAATAGGCCCAAATTCTTTTAAGCAGTTTGTCTCAATTGCTTTGTCTGTGTCCCGAGTGTAGCCTACCGTGACATCCCGTTGATATAGTAGAGCATTTTCCCAGTCCTTCCCCCGGGTATTTCATGCAGCATTCAACTCTCTGTAAGAGGCCAACAGTGGAGGGATCATCCTCTCCAAGGTCTGCCTGTGGGAGATGCCATTTAAATGTGGAACACCTAATAGTCTTAGTTAAGCAGAATAATCCTTTGATTAGCAGCTGAGCATAGTGGCTCTGCTGTACACATTGCTTGAGGGTAAAGGAGCTGTCATTATGTGCGTTGTACAGGCCATCTTTTTAATCTCTGAAGATCTGAGAAGTGGCAATCTTTTTTTTGCTTTTTTTTCTCTCAGTTGACTGCATGCACTTTCGTGAACATGCAAATGCACACAACATTCAAAACAAAGAAAAACAACAACATGAAACATGGCACAAATGCCTTAAAAATGTTTATGTAGTAATTCTGGCATTCTACACAAACGTGAAAAGACCACAAAAAACGAGATCACCCTTCTTTTCACAACATTTACTCACATACCCAGTGATACACCACAGATTTTTGGGATGGATGGGGCATTTGAGAAAAGTAATGTCTATGTAACAAACAAAATTTTAGTTTTTTTTACAATCAGATTGAATAAAATGTTATTAAATGGGCTATTTCTGCAGAATTAGAAAAACACTTAAGAACATTTATAAGATTGCATTTAGGAAATATTTCCAAATATTTAAACATTTTCATCTCCAGATTTAAAAGCTTTAAGTATTGCAAGTGTCTGTATATAACTACAACTTTATAAAATATGTCAATAAAAATGAAGTTATGGAAAGGTGAAGGGTCATGTCTTTAAAAAAAAGATACAAATGATATTTTCTCCCGTGTAAAAATGTTTTCATTCAATTATTGTAATTTCTCTTTTATACGTCTGCACGTGTTCTATCATATCTGGGTACTTTTGAATTAAGTGGTAAGAAATAACCACTTTTTAAACTCAGGTGACATTATGAGTCGTGTGTTTATTGTACATTAATAGTTTTTAGTGGATTTTTGAGAGACTGACGGACATTTTCGCGCCGTTGTGCAGGGATGTTTCGTCCCTCATCTTTGGTTAGCACACAGCTGACTTTTTCGGCTACATCCACACTCACTCCTGCCAGTTTTAATAGTACGGGCAAACAGCCCACAGGTATTTAAATGTTGAGCTGTATTCCGTTGATTAAGTGTCTTAGTTCGAGGTAACTTTTTACACGAAGTAAAGAAAAAAGTTAATGTTTTATCAAGAGTTCATTTTAGCTAGCGAAGTTAGCTTACTTGGGTGTTTTGCTCCACAAGGGGGAGCTTTGTTCATCTGACGTAAAACTGCTTAGTTTGTAAATGTATTTTTCTTTCTTTCTTTTTTGGATATAGTAAGTCAACCAGCGATGACAATGGCCAGGAAAACAGCTAGGAAGGTTGGGAAATGCACACTGGCTCACAAATGCCAGCGTTTAAAGAGGACTTATCAGCGGGCCGGGCCGGTCAGGACCATGATGACCCGCAGCCAGTGGGCCGCCGGACACAGCTTCTTCAACAGGCTACCTGTGGAGGTCTTCCGTATGATCCTGGATCGAATGTCTGGTGGGTGTCACTGGGGGAAATCGCACCCCAAAGCTACAGTAAAAGGTTATAGAAATTAAACGTGAATCAAATAAAACATACCTGCTGTGTTCTTCTATGCAAAACCTTTACCCCAAGAGCAGTAGTTGCATCTGTTCAATAAACACTATCTCAGTGTTTAAGGCAGTTCCTACTTTTACCCTGAAGACTAATAATTATACTTAATGAAGAATCACATTTATTGTTTTCTATAGATTCACCTGGGTTTAATTGCAACTCAAGGCCAATCCAAGCAACACTGGGTTCTGATCAGAGGCTTTGTGTTATTTATACATACACGGTATGTATATGTATGCTTTTTAACTAATTTTTTTGTTTATTTGTCAGTGATGGAAATCAGTGTGTTCACTATGGTGTCAAAGGAAATCACCAGCTACGTTGTGGACTACATCTCCTCCATGTCCTGGAAGAACAAAACCATCATCCAAAGCTTCCACCCCTCCACGTGTCTTGAGGAGAGATCTACTATTGAATACTACAGGGACCTTGGTATTTTTCTCAGTGTCAAACACTTCTCATTGCCTTTTTTAAACAGAAAAAATGTCTATTTTTTTTCAATGAATACGCCACCAACTGAATGACAGGCTCTCTTTCTCTCTTAATTTGTTTATGCGCTTTTGTGTTTGATGTGTCAGGCTTGTTGTTCAAGAGATGTACCCTGCTGCTACCAACGAGGGACAGGTTAAAGTTTATCTTTAGCAAGTTCTCACAGGTAAGGAAGGGACAGGTGAGATAATAAGCCAGAACAGATAATTGTGATTTATGACAAAGGATAGCGTCAAGTTTCATTCATTAGAATATTCAATTTCAGTTTTTTCCTCTTATATTCTGTTTTTCTGTATCATTGTTTGAACGTTTTATTAAACCATGATCCTGATATCTCTTTTTACTGCTAATGTATAAAGAAATAACTTTTACAACAACTTCATGTAAGAAAAGGTCTTGAATCCATATTTTACCAGCATTATGGAACCTGAACTATACCTCCAGCTAAAGGGAAATACATTACAGAATGAATAAGCAGTGATTTATTCTAATGGAAGGTTTGATGTCAAGCAGTAATAAAGTGAACACGATGTGTTCAAGTGGAACTAACTGTTCTAATTATAAGTGGGACTCTTCCTAACACTGATCAGTCCTCACCAACACATGCAATGCTTGTGATCTGTGTCAGATTCCCTGCTTCATGTTGGAGCAGTGCCTTGCCCCAGACTGCACTGCCTTCTCCAGATACGGCGTCTTCCTCCAGGTGAGGTCCCGATATCAAAGTGGAATGAACTTGGAAGCAATTAAAGGAAGTGACAACTCAGATATGGCTGAGAGAAGATGAGCACAATGTGATTGCATTCAGGCTCTGTGAACTAATGGAGCATGTGCTCCTCCAGAGATAACCTTTTTAGCAGCAAACACCCCGTTGTTTCAGCCCATTAAATTGACATGGAAAAAGTGCTGTGCGCTGTAAAAAATAGCGATAATTTCAGGAACACCAGGCTGAAACTTGAGCCTATTAGGCTGACTAATAAGTCATCTTTATTTCAACTTTGTGCTTCATCTCCATGGTTGGGAAACAGTTTCCGAGTAAAACCAGCACTGAGGTGAAAATGCTGTTTGTTTCCCAGACTCTGATCGCTGGCTGGGATGAGCTGGAGTGCCACAGAGTGTTCAGCTTTTTGTGCGAACTCACGAACCTGATGCACAAGACGGAAACGGTGGTCACCGCGAAACCAGGTGTGTGTGGAAATGTTGCAGAGGTGGAAAAAGGCAGCTGTGGACTGAGAATACGCCCAACTTTATCAGACTGAGAAGGCTAAAAAAAATATACACACGTGTGCCCGCAGGGCTTAAGCGGTACCAGGAGCTGCAGCTTCGTCTGTTCTGCCGTCACGTTCTGTTGGACCCGTGGCCGAGCCAGGCAGAGTGCCAGTTCTGGCTAACGCTGCTCCTGAAACCCTGGCCCATGGTCAGCCAGGCCCACTTACTGTTCGTCCTCTATGGTCCCCTGCTGCCTGAGGGTGAGGGGACTTTTGCACTGAATATTTGATAAGGCCAACCAGGTAGGACCTTCTGAGGGACTGAGCTGTTCTCTTTGCAGGTACTCTAGGCTGGCAGGATCTGGTGGAGAGGGGTCTGCCACACACTGCTTTGTGGGACCTAGCTAAAGCCATCCTCATGCTCTTTGGGAAACTAGAAGTCAAAGGCTGGACCACTGACTCGATGCTGGCAATCTTGGAGGAGCTAATTGGTATTTACTTAAAAAGTTGTCAAGAGTTTTAATGGTCATACATTGGCAGAGATACATGTTACAGAACTCTAGCTGGCTAAACTTGAACCTTTGAGGACCATGGAGAAGATTTCTGTTTTAAAGCTGACTCTGCCTTTGTAGTTGACTCGTTGTTTTAGGATATTCAAAGCTGTTTCCTTCACGCCCTTTCCCAGTTATTCCTCATCCATGGCACGTGGAGAATGTGGCCCGCCTTTTGGTGCTGTGTGGCAGTCGTCTTTGCTACACCGTTCTGGCCGGCAAAGCCCTCAGTGGACGGCTCTTTGAGGCTTCCAGACTCATCATCTACATCATACTGGTGAGAACGCTTTGGATTTGAACTTCTAACTTTAACTTTAACTAAACTTTTAACTTCAGCTGAACAGTGTCCATGTTAAATCTCCATGGAGCTGATTTTTGTGCATTCCTCAGCTTTGAGGAATGCAATTCACTATAAGTAATCAGAAAGGACTTTTTGACATAATCAAAAAGTTTCCTTTTTTCTTTAACAGCTGTGTTGCCAATCATCAGATTATGATTGGATTTCTTTTGGTAACAAAGCTAAACGCAATAAACCATGACCACTAAACACAGTGAACTGATTACATCTGGCAGACGTTCAGAGAGCTGGTAATATTAGTATATAAAAAGACAGAATTGTCCGTTCTTTGTTATGCCTTCAGGTGTGTGAGAAGGACGGCTACCACATGAGTTGGGCCGTGAATCTGGTTCAGCAGATCTGCAAGGTCTTCAGCACGGCACCGGAGAGGTTCTGCTTCATCCAGCAGCTGGAAAACATGTTCTCAGAAGTCACCAGGGAGTTCTTTGAGTTTTCTGTAGCTGGTGAGTCTCTGCGACTTTCAGCTAAACTTTTGTTTTTCTTTCGATTGATCTGTTCTTGTTAAGCCCGTCTTGTACAGGCAGAGGACACACATCGGGATACAGCTTGTCGCAGCGGGGATGAAGTATCACACTATCATGATGGTATCTTATGAAAGGGGCTGACGTGGCTGGAGAATGCTAACGTTTAAAAGCGGAGTGTGTTGTCAGTTTAGTCATGATTTAGTCTTTGGCATGGAGCAGATTGTTTCGGACGTTTCTTTTGCTGTTTGTATGTTTCTGACAGCTCAGAAACGCAGCTCTCGTTATGCTCTCTGGAACCCTTTTGGCTCAGCTGGATATGTTCGTCTTGCCACCTGTAGCAGATCATCAGTTGTCTCTGACTGCGTTTGACCTTTTCAGTTCTGCTCCACACGCTTATAATTTCGAACAGCAAAACTGCTGGAATGCTATAACTTCCTCTAATGTGGGCACGAGAATTAATCTTCTAGCTTTGGGCACGGATACAAAAGAGAAAGAACAGTGAGTTATTAACAAAAAATGGAGGCATCTACATTTATTTTGCCTTTGGTCTCCAAACCTACATCCTGAAAACTCTCACTTTTGACCATTTTTGGGCAATGCTTCCTCTCAGTTAAGTCATTTTACAATCCAGGAGAAGAATCTGAGACACATTAAAATACTGTAAAAGAACAGTCAATATTGCTGTTTTTTGTTTGCAGAAAACCACTTTGGAGACAGAGAAACTTTCCAGAACCTGTGCATCCTCTTGGACTCCAGTGCCCGCTTCCACACAAAATTTCTCCACATGTTCCTCAAATAGGAATTATGCACAATAAAAGAGCGAGAGAGGACTGGAGAGAGAGACGAGAGGAGCCCGACGTCAGAAATAATGAACGATTAAGCCATAAGGTGAACGAAAGAGTGCAAACACGAGGAAGCGGAGAATAAGCCTGAAGAGGGAGACTTGATTTTTTTTTCAAACAAAAAACAATTGGTTGAAAAATGAGCCAATTATATGCTTTAGTTGGACAGTATTTGTCTCAAAGGTTAATCACCTGGTTCTTGATGTTATTTTTTTAAAAATGTTAACTTTTAGAAAAATCGTATTTAATATTTATTTAGTACTAGTGAAACTATTTATTTAAAAAAATATTCCTTCCTTAGAAATGTAGTAGTGGTAAAGCGAGACTATTTTGTTTACGTAATTTATTAAATTGACTGATTTTTGTACATTATGGTGTCTTTGTTTACATGTTGTTATTGTGTTGTTTTTAAGGGGCGATCCATTACAAAACCCTGCACACACGCTGCAGGCAACAAGCTTTTATTGATCTCCAATAAGGGCAACAATCAGCAGTGACAGCGTTTTTCAAAAAAAGGCTGTTCTGTGGATGAAATGAATGAAGCGTGTGTGGTAGAATAAAAAAGAAGCAGCCACAAATACAAAATATTTAAAAGTTACTGTATACAGAAACAAAAAAGTACCTATTGGGTTGGTGGAGCGGGGGACGGGGGACGGGGTCTTGCATCCATAACACAGTTATTTTAATTCAAGTACATAATCTGAAGGTGCAGCACAGACAGGAAGTGCTCGGCTACTTGACATAAAAGTTTAAGGCCTACATCCTTTATGATGAGCATGTCCGCCGTGGGAGAGTTCCTGGTTCCATGTCCATCTGTCCACAGTCAGTTGTGGTCATTCATTTGTTCATTGTTTTGATAAGATCTGGCAGAAGGAAAAAGATTCTTATCTATAAAATGAAGGAAATCCCCCACCATCAACAAACGCATGGGACTTTAGAAACATGTAATGGTAGTGATCACAAGATTTGTGGATAGAAACAACATTAACGCAGCACAAGGAGACATAAAACTGATAAATCTTACATGTTGACAACATAACACAAAAGCCCCGTTTGGAAAGGATTTAGCTCTATAGGGGAGGTGGAAAATGTTACAATATTGCGGTATCATAAATTTATATTATAGTATTAATATATAATGATAATACATAAATGAATAGGAAATCATTTTTGTCTTGAGACTCAATGACAAACAGATTTTCAGTTGGCTCCCTCATGATTAATCCCTTCCAAACAGCCAAGATAATCTACCAGCGAAGTTTCATAACATTTAAACAGGAATCGGCTTAAAGATACTTACTGTACAATTTGATCTACGGATATGAAAGAACGCATATCGACGTTAACATTTTCAGACAGCCTCTGGTGATCAGGCCAGTGTCATAGCTGTATTAAATGCACTGAGCAGACATGTTACCTTGCAGCCAGTCCAAGCCCTCCTGCAGGCCCTCTCCTTTGATGGCGTTGCTGGCACTGAAAAGCGAGAGGTCCAGCAGTTAAGCTGATTGTGGCACACATTCACTTTCTCATGACTTTTCTTGGATCGTGGCTCCCTAAATCTGTCAAGCTTTTAAGCCCTTAGCCTTTCATCTGTCTAATGAGTAAACAAGGTGAAAAACACACGTGGACGAAAAAAACAGGCATAGAAGTAACATGCTGCTATGCCTGTTAGCAATAATCTACATGTAAATGACCAAAACAGGTGACCATTAAGTAAACATGTTGGTCACCTTACAGATTTGCTTGGGACCTGAAAGGCCATAAATTGGAAAAAATCTAAATGTTGAGATTAGGATTGTAATTCAGGCTACATTCATATTCTAGTCATTCTATTATTCTCTATAACAAATGAGTTTTTCTGCTATCTCTTATATAAAATGTCATCACAGTGACAAAAGCATTACCAGATGTGCCAGGGCTTGTCTTTGATGTTCTCCAAACCTAACATCTGTGACACTTTGACAGAAGACATTGCGTCTCGCAGATCCATCTTGTTAGCGAAGAACAGCACGGGCATCTTTTTGCCGCGGATATCTTGACAGGAAAACCAAAGCGAGAGCAAACGAATCATGAGCAGGCCGCAGCACAGAAATTGTCCACAATGTTTGCCATCGTCCATCTTCTACCACAGCTGATAGTTTGTATGGCTTTGTAATTACCTTCAGATTTTATAAGCCAATTGAGAAGAAAAATAGAATATCACAAAAACACAGAATCCTGCATGGATTTTCTTTTTAAAAATGATAAAAAGATGTTTTTTTCCCCACAATTTTAGGGAAATGTCATACTTAAATCACAGACTTAACTAAAAAAGGTTCTGTACCATCATGATTGAGGAAAGTATCCAACTCCTCCTTGGCAACAACCATCCTCAGTTTGTCACTGCTGTCGATGACAAAAATGATGGCGTGGCTCTCCCTAAATAAACATATGACAGAAAAAGTTATAAACTTGACAGAGTAACTCCAAAATCGTAGATATTTTGCCCACTTTGTGCATTTCTGTGCCTCTTACTTATAATAATGCTCCCATAGGCTTCTGTATCTGCTCTGGCCAGACATGTCAAAGACTGTGAATGATAAGCTGCAGAGGCAGAAAGAAACAAAGAGAGAAGAACAGTTAATCGCCTTGAATTCCGATTCGTGTCCTCATTTTCCACTTGTACATTTAACTATTCGTGTAGCTTTCGGATTTCTACCTTGAGCTCTTGAACTTTTCAATGTTGAAGCCGATGGTCGGGACGATCTCTTGCGCCTGTGTCTGCATGCACCACCACACACAACAACCCACGCACAAACACACAAAAGCAGACAAGTGATGGCAAAAGTATGTCAAAATGGAAATAATCAGAGGAAAGTGTGATATTGTCTTTACCTGACTAACATGTTTCCACTCTTCTGACAATGGACCTAAATGATTTGGATGCTGAAAACGAACGATTGTAATGAAATAAAGATTTTAGCAGGCCCCCTTGTGCTTTGGCATTAAAAGAAGAGTGTACCAAGTACAGTGTGTACCTATATTGCCAGACTGCAAACACATCACCTTCTCAATTTCACTACAGAAGAGGTAAGATAATTCGGAAAGCACATTTATTTAGGCTCAACGTCATGGACTTACATTAGCCGGTTTGAGTTGGTTGATTATGGTAGTTTTGCCGCTGTTGTCCAGTCCCAAACACAAAACGTTGACTTCTTTCTTCCTCAGGCCGAGCCAGCCGGACAGCTTATCCAGAAGTCCCATTGCAGTCGGCTGTTGCTAAACCATTTAAATATCAATACATTACCCCATAGATGGTCTGATTACTGGTAGATTTTGCAGTCGTTCATGAAAGCAAATGCGAATGATGAAACATAGCCGTGGACGCAATTCTGCAGGGCTTGCTGTGAATAGATGAGATGCTGTCCTGACCATCCCAGCTTGTGACAAGTAATCCTATTAGTACGAATTAAACCCAGTGAACCACTTGGTGACCTGCTCACAGAGTATGGAGCTTCCCACCACCTCCATCCTGATGCATTGCACTGATTTATTACACTTTCTTTCCTGGAGGGCTTTTTTTTTTCTTTTCCTCCACCCACTTCAGGAGCAGAAGCATCCGGCAGCAGCTGTAACACCTTAACACCCGGAGCTGTGTATCGACAGCCACGCTGTCAATACTCGCCTATACGGCAATTATGTAACTCCTGTTCTCAACCCAAATGAAAGCGATATGATTTAGTCTGAGATTTACCCTTGTCAAAATGAGTTCTAATGAATACAATGTTTCTTTAGACACACTGATGAGGTCGGTCCTTCAGCCTGAAAGATCATTTTCTACTTTTACACCACTTTCCCACTTGAAAAATCACAACAAATTTGAATGAGCAGTCAACCACCAGAACTGTTCCTCTTTATTTGCAAATAAATATTCGCTATAACTGCCTCTTACAGTGTGCAAGATCTACAACATCTCTTTGGAAATCATAGAAAAATAAAATACAAGAATTATAAGTATACTTGTACTTTGTACAAAAGAACGTTCTAACATTGCTCAGCAGTAGAACATGCTAAACAGACAGCATCTGATAATCTCAGTATTTCTGCACGGGGGCGATGAGGGGTAAATGTAGACTTGTGTGCGTGCGTGTGTGTGTGGGTGCTTGTGTATGGGCGTGCACCTTTCCCACTTTTGAAAAGCCTGGATGTATTACAATGCTGTGACCAGAAGGCAAAGATCCGGATGTCATTAATCAGTTTGTGGTGAAAGAATAAAAACAACACATCTGGACGCAGGTGTGTTTCCTCTTAAATGATTCAAAGTCATGGCTAGGTCCTGTGACTCCACTGGAAATGATGTTTTGCAGACTGTAAGGCATTCTGAGTGTTTGTGCGTGTGTTTGTTACTGCAGATGCTAAAAGGACACGTCACGAGTCGTGATGCTTCTGTATGTACGGGCTCTCTATCTTACCTCTTGACCCCAGAAATACTACAAGAAGCCCACTGCTATTTTACTTATCCAGCTTTTAACTACGTTTTCGCCTCCAGATAGACTAATAAGGTATATTCCTCATCACTGAGATACATTCCACCCCCTGACATAACGACATATATCCCAGATCAGACCGCATTCATGTCAGTCTATGCTTCTATACACTTTTTCTACACTATCACAAATACCACGGTCTTCACATAACCACAATTTATGCACAGGCTGATGTGAAATCCATCTGCAAAGCTGTGAACTACTCTCCAACGACATCATGGAACAACCTCAACGAGTCTCGAGTGCAAACGGCTGCCTGTGTTGTATGTGTGTGTGCGTGTGCGTGTGTATGTGAATGCGTATATATATATGTAGGTGTCTGACTCCAGGCAAAAAAATAAATTCTGTGAAAGGAAGAACTACATGAGTCCTAGTCAGCAATCCTCCGAAACATTTCCTATTTATAGCTCGATTGCGTGAACATTCATATATTAAGACAGTGGAGTGTGTGTACTTCTGACAGGCAATGTTTAACATTCACAATCAAAGAAATAAAAACGACGTAAAAAAAACAGGCTGAATACACAACTGGAAAATACAGTGGCTGCTAAAAATCATCAGACTTCTGAAGTTATTCATCTGAAAGCAAAATAATCCTGTCCCGGCCAAACATTCACGATAAGAACCAGTGGATGTCTCTGATTGCACAATTGTTTATCTCTCTCTGAGATACAGAGGTGACTGCATAATACCGTATTGCTGATTCTGATAAAGGAAAAAATATATATTGAGGTAACTAAAATATTCAAATAAGATCCAGATTTACAAGGGCGTTCACATACAGGACTGCACATATATTGATATTAGGTTATAATATTTATTATCATACACTTTTAAACATTCAATAAATCTCCCTAACTTGTTTCTCCCTTCAAGTATCAGTGTACCAGATTCTCTGGAGAGCGGGCAACTAAAGCAATCCAAATAAATCTATATGGTAAATCATCAAACTCTAAAATGAAAAATATTCAGGATATTCTTATTTTTCAAAGGACAAAATGTAACGATTGCACACCTGATAGCAGCTACGTGGGAACGGAACTCAGAGCAGAAAAAGAAAAAGGAAAAAAAAAAAGAAGGTCCAAAGATTTCAGTAGATTACAATTGCAAATCTACATTCTAGATTACTGTTGCTCCACACACAATGAACTGCTGTTGCAACAAGGCATTACATTCCCCAAAAAGGAGGGCCCGGGCCAGTCCGTAAAAGTCTATCAGGCTGCGGTCTTCTGCTGGAACCAGGCATGTGGCGGAAGGGAAGTATAGCAGAAAAAAGTCCTGTGGGATGCGCGGGAGACCTGGGAGGAGTCTGTCAAACATTCCTGCGCGAGGACTTCGGGACTCAGGCACAGCTTGTAGACTGTCATTTGTGTGGATTAGACTTCGCTCCCGTCGGCGCCGTCTACCTGCGGATCCCAGGTGATGCAAAAGGGCGTCCTCATACATGGAAACCCTTGTCCTGTTCGTGCAGCAGCTGTAGGTGGAGGGTCTGTACGCTGCTGACGATCCGCCTCTGGTGGCCGATCAGCTCCACCCCAATGCGCCTCACATCTCTAGGCGGAGAGGGAGATCGCAAAAACAAACAGGCGCACGCAAAACACTATAAAGATCTTTTAGGGAAACGGAACAATGGTCATTTCCGAAGTGTTTACAATGCCCGATACTTGTATTTGGCTCTATGATGCCACAGAACCTGCTTCTCAATTGTGGTTGTTGGCTTTTTTAAGCTACATTTAAAATGTCAGAGAGAAGAAACATAAGAAGAGAGAGAACTTATTAAACTACTCAAACAATTTTAGTCAGAATCCTTTTATTCTTATTGATTGATTAAAGTTAGCTCTAAGAATGACATTGAAAACTCAAAGTTTTTTAACACTAAGTTTATTTAGTGTGCTTTCCAAATACAAATACAAAATGGTGTTTAACTTTTTTATATGAAGGAAATCTTACTAAGGAGAACTCCCTTTAGCTAACCAGAGGCCAGTGACCAGCCGTTTGGAAATGCTAAAGAAGACTCCCCATTGCTTATTCACAGAAGCTAAACACAGCCAGAAGACCACTGTCTGCTCCGTAGGACACCCTTGTTTTTACTGTCATTTAGTAATGCGTATGTTTAGATCTTTGACTCACTCAATACTCATCCTTGCCACGGAATCCAATGTGTTGAAGCCTGCTGCCATGAAATTGCTCTTGTACTGACTCATCTTGATGGAGTCCAGCCAATCGCCAACAGATATGAACATTGGGTAGTCCATCTCCTCCCCCGGAGATTCTGGAAGACTGATTTAAAAAAAAAAAGAAAAAAAAAGAAATTGCTGTCAGATCATGGCTTTATTTCCAGTGAACACAACTCCATGTTCTCTTTGTGACATGTAGTTGAAACTAGTTTCAAGCGTAGGAGTAAAAGTATTTATTAACTCTCAGGGGATTTAATTTGTTCTTTGCCTGGACAGAACTGCTCTATGATAGCTTAATGTTTCCCTGTACCTCAAATGAATCCCAAATTCTCTCCTGAGGTGCAAACACTTGTACAGATACTTGAAAATACATTAAAATGAGCATGAATTGCTTTATATTTTACTCCACCACTGTACCTCTGGAGGTCCTCTACCAGCGGCAGAAGGCTGCTGGGGTTGCGGATGAGTTTATCCAAGAAGGAAACGACATCTGTGAATTTTGGTCGATGATTCCTCTCTTTCTGCCAGCAGTGCAGCATCAGCTGGTGCAGGGCGACCGGGCAGCCCATCGGCGCGGGCAGCCGGTAGCCCTCCTCAATGGACAGGATCACCTGGGGAAATAGATTTGATACAGGGTCTCAATGTGAGAGAAGCTAGGAGTGGATTTTGCTTGTAAATCAATAGGTTTAAGTGAAAAATCGGAGACGTCTCAGAGGAAGGTTTTTGTTTGAGTTCGAGCACACCAAACAAGCATTTAGCTGAGTGTCAGGGACCTCAGTGGCAGAATCCTCTCAGTTTATGCTATTTTTCTTTGTATTTGGGAATGGTAAGACGGCTATTAAATATTAGTAACACGGCATTCAAATGATTAGATTTGAATAATCAAATCGAAAAGTAAAAAAGGCAGATAAAATCAGCAATAACATCATTATGTGAATGACGCAGTCGCATTTCAAAATACAATTTTTGAGACAATTGATCTATTTTAAGATCGATTATACAGTGTCATTATACAGCATTTTTTTAATCTAATCCTGCTGCTTTTTTATGCTGAACATACACCAGCAATCGGGTTTCCCCACATGCAGCATTCCAGTGTAAATCCCTTTACGATTTCAGGTGACGGTGAGCATTAGCCCTCGTACTGCAGCGTATCTGCATGCATCTTTGTGGGGAGCAGTGGTAAGTGGCTGACCAGGATGAGAGAGTGTATGGGTGGTTATGTAGCTTGGCTGGCCTTTAGCTTTGGAAAGCACTTCTAAGCAATTCCCAAACAGTACAAATCCTTCCCAAACCCTGGGACCTCGGTCAATGTGTGTGTGTGTGAGTGTGTGCAGGGTGTCTGCATATCGACGTGTACCGGTCTGTGTGTATGAGGTTGAAAGGATTACTGCGGAGCTTTCACACTCAGCAGAGAGAGGGATGGATCTGCTTCCCCCGTGGTCCCTCCAATCCCTGACCACAGCCCAGAGATCAGCAGGTTGCTCAGCCACATTGAATCCTCCCGCTTTAAACCTCACCTCGACCGGACCCCGGTCCTCTGAACCTCTGACCCTTACTGCGCTTTCTCATTCCCTCTTTTTCATCTTTTTTTTTTGTCCTTCTGCTGTTATTGATGTTCCTAACCTCCTTCGTGTATTTGGTAGGTTTCTTTTAGGTGAGTAAACTGCCGGGGAGTCGGTCAAAGGGTATCAACTTTCACAGATAGAATGAAAGGCAAACTCTAGATATACTCATGGAGCAGCACTTAAACTGAGAGGCAAACAATGTTTGGGTCTTTATCTACAAAATATACAGTCACTCTAAATAAGACAGAGTTAAACATAG